GGAAAATGTAGCATGCATGCAAAAGAGTTCTTTATGTACAAAAAAGAATGGCATATTCGGGAAAAAGCCTATGATATTTTAATCCTTGTATCCCAATTCAAGGTTATATTGAACCAAGTGATATCAAGAAAAATTACTGATAACTCATGATTACTGGACCTCAAAAGGGAAGAGAGTTTGGTGCCATGTAGCATGATATGAAATTAACTTCAATTGTTCTCTGTTTATAAAGTTAATGTTTGTAAATTCACAGAGCTGAGAATCGTTTGTGGTATGCTCCATTCTCAACTAACATGCCTTCTAAGCCCCAGAATAACAGTAGCAGGGATAAAAGACTGGTTCCTGTTCTTATGAAACCCTCAGTCTACTGGGGAAAATAGTTTAAAAGTGAACTGAACAAATAAATACACAAAACTGGGTAGATAATGTTCTGAAAAAAAGGGGGAAGGAAAATCTAATTCTTGGTTGGAGTTAAAAGTGATTGCTACATTTAGATGGGAATCAGAAAAGGCTTCTTTGAAGAGCAGCTTTGGAGTAAGAACCTGAATGAGGAAAGCAAGCTAGGACTGCAAACACCTAAGTATCACAGTTTCCTACAGCTTCCCCGTCTGTATAAAAAAGGGACCACGCTGCTTTAATGATGTCCTGTGTAAATGAATAAAAAGCACTTAGCATTGATCTGGTGTGTGAGGCCATTTTTCTGACTTGCTGAAATGTCCTTAGATCTTGAAGTCTAAAGCAGGGTTACCTTTAATCTTGTTAACAGTTCCCTCACATATGCTAGATTATTTGTATTTTCTTCCCTCTCGATGTTATTTCACAATCATATCCATTCCTTTGGATTACTCCAAACTTTTGAATCTATGACGATGGTTACTTTCATTACTTTTTAACCACTAAATTAGCTGCACAAAATATCTAGATGGGCAAAACTGTATTTAATGCATCTGAAGATTTAGTCCCTCATTAATGTAATATTATGAATTTTAAGGCATTTTAAAATTAGGAATTTAACCAGAAGCCCCCAGAGATTGTGGACAGGTCAATGCCACTAGTTTGGCTACACAGTTAATTCCATCAGAGCCATTGAACCAAGTGTTGTGTGTATGAAGAGAGTCCATGAGTCAATTGCCAGCACAGAATTCTTCCTGACGTAGGAAGGCAGATGATCTCAACTTTTGAGTGCATACAGTGCAGATTTCTAGTTGAATAGCTCTCGACAATAGTGTCCTCTGAAACATAATGCCTGGCCAGGAGCCAATGATTATGCCACCATACAAATCACTGTGCATCTGACGCCAGAACGCCTCTTTGCAATGGTAACAACGAGAGTTCTCGGTGCTGGTGTTCCACAAGATGTTGCATTGGCTCTTTTATTTTTTAATCAGACCTTGGAATTAAAGATTTTATTTAGATGGTTTCCAGGAAATAAGTGGTGGTGGATGGAGAGAAAAAAGAGAATAAAGGAGGTTTTAGCATATTTTAAGAAACAGCTTTGCTATTTTACTTTTCCCATTATGATAAAAACAGCCTATGTTTTGAAACCTGATTTTAATTGTTTAATAGATATTTTCACTTTAAATTTCTCACATAATTATAGAACTAAAATAGCTTGGTTCAAACTGCTAGCTAATGATCCATATATCACTTCAATAATTGCTAGCTTCTTTTAGAAAATGCATTAATTTTGTAAGAACATTTTCAAATGTGGAAAACATAGGGAGAATTTTTTAAGATCAGTAACATTGAACTTAACATTATAACATTTAAATTTTGTTTCAAAATTTTGTTATTTACTGTAACATATTATAAATCTAAAAAATAGAGTAGTACAAGGTATTATAATTCTCTATCTAAATTTGCATATAGCTGTCTTTTTAAGGATTAAAAGTAGATGGGTCATATTGTTGAACTGCAATTGATGATGTAAATGAAATCTGAGTTATTCACAGTATTCCTATTCAATAGGAATTATACACCCATTAAAATATTTAGCCAAATTTCATCTCCAACTATGAAATTGTCTGCTGACTTTAAATGCCAGTTTCTAGAAATAATTCTTCAAAGGATTTTCGCATTAAATAAGTTGATCTAAATATTTTATATGATAAGAATAGTAATTACTCAAGAGGAACATACAGACTCCAAATATTGTAACAAGCAGTGTACTGCAAAACTAGAAGAAATGTTTTCCCCAATAAAGCTAAAGGTGTCAGTATTTCTTCTTTTTGGTTGGTTTTCACTCAGTGAAAATGTTGTTGGTAGAAGATACAAGCATCAGCCAAATGTAAAAACTGTAAGTCTCTTAAATATGGGTAGCAATTCATAAAATAAATAAGAAAGGTAATTTAAAGTTTTCTTGTGGCTTGAAAATGCCTTCCAAATATTCATTAAACATTTAAGTGAGTAAATTTGTAGAATATGTTTCTGACATTGGCACTGGTTCTGTGGTATTTCTCTGATCAGATGGAAGTGCTATGTGTTATGCAGAGTGCATGCAGTTCATTCATGCATAAACAATATCATTTTCATAAATTAAAACCTCCCCTGCAGAAGGAACATCTGTGCCTGCCTTTGAATAAAAGATGGTGGCATGTGAGTTACTCCCTGACTGACTGAAAGAATCCCTATGCTTTACAATGAAATTGTACAAGCAAAATGAGAAAAACAAACAAACAAACAAACCTCAAACCTAACTTTCCATCTTCATTTCTATCTTTCATAAAAACCTGTGGTCTACATTCCCCTGTTTGCTGGTTTGAAAACTGGATTGTTGAAATGTAATTCTCTCATTATTTCTTCTTTTCATGATAGCAACAGTTTTAGTTTGCATGAAGACATCTAATTTTAATTACAGGTGAAATTGAGCTGCTTAATAGATCAGATCTGAATGTTCACTTCATGGTCTCCTGTGCTGGAAGGCTGGAATGTTTAAATATTAGTGTTAAGTCTCTTAAAGTCAGAACAGTGAGACAATCCAGAATAGTGAAAGCAACAGCTTGGTTCCAAAATAACAACTCTGATTCATTTGGAAGGAGATTGCTGCATTTTGGGTAAAGTTGGGACTAACTTAAATGTATTTCTGTCATGTGATGGAGGCTGATGGAAAACATGTTAAAATGATATATTTTAAATTGTACTCAGACGTTTTTTAACATTGAGCTATTCCTTAATGTTACTGTCACAGCTTGATGCAGCCCCATTGGCACTGTTGTTAGTATGGCTAATTGTTCCTGTCCATTAAATTACTCACATTTTTCTGGAGCAGCTTGCTAAATGAGGTCAGCTTTCTGGAACCCTTAAATCACCAATGAGAAGAAGATTAAAGGAACAAGCTTGGGAATGGAGGTAGTCATCCAATGTGGCATCCAAATCAAGGAAGAACAATGGAGTTACTAATGACAGTAATCAGAGCACCACAGTAGAGCCAGGGTGCAATTGCCAAAATGTTATTCCCTAGGAATCATGACCGACAGTCATTTCTTATGGGAAGGGCAATGCGAAACGATTTTTTTAAGTGGACTTAACAATGGACAAAATTATCTGTTAAGGTTTTTTTCTTCCATAGTTGAGTTTATGAAACGAGAGAGTACTGCCCCAAAGGAGACTGGGAAGCTATTACACCTTCCTAAAACAAGGTACAAATAGTGTGTTCTTAAATACAAGTAATCTATTAATATTTTTCTTCGGAAAAATCATTGAAATCATCCCAAGATGCTTATAGAAAAAGTATAAAATGCACTTCTTCTTGGAGTCTTTCAATTAATTAAATAAATTCCCTTGGATATTTATCCAAAGGTATATAACTTTCTCTTTGGGACAGTACTCTTTTGAAAGAGAGACCTATTCAAATTCAGGAAAAATGTACAGGCAATAGAACACCAAGAAAATGGTAAAGTTTTCATATGTTTTAGATGTGTAGGGAAACTAAACTCAGGTACTTATCCATGTCTTGCTTGTTAGTAATTAGCTAAATCCACGTTTTAAAGAAAAGAAAACCGGCGACGCAAACATTTTTTTAAATGGGAAAAGAAAGCCTAAAAGTGAAGGCATTTAAAACAAAATAAACAAACAACTACCCCACCCCCAAAATATATTGTTTGTTTCACTTACCCTGCTACTCCATATTACAAATAATGAAACATTACTTAGATCTTTTTTGTTATCTACAAAGAACTGGTGACTCTCTAAGCAAGATAAATGGACTACAGCATATGCCAAAGTAAACTTTTTACTTTATTCTACAAATAGCATTTAGTATTTTTAACACAGGAAATAAGCAACTATTTCTCCCTAAGAATAATTTTATCCTTTAATAATCATTGTAGGAAGAAAAACAACAACTGCTCTGATTTTCAATACTATTTTATTGCAACAGGATGAGTGTTTTCTAAATTGTGCATTACACCATAATAATATACAGGATTACAAACAAGATTACAGTACAGATCAATTCCAGTGGTACCAGCATCACATCTCAAACAGCACTTATTCTGGACTGCATTTTACATGCAATAGCTATTGTTCTAATTATGAATTAAATGGTTTTCATTTTATTTAAGCTAGTGTACTAATTGACTACAATAGGTATAAATCCCAACATTAACAACCTGAATAGATTTAGGCTCAGATTTATTACATGTATATATGACAAACCACCATTTGTGTGACTATGTATAAAATCATGCATTTATATCTTCTGGAAACATCAATAGCTTCAGATGCTCTGTAAAATTATGGAATGCAAAGAAGTAAAAGACTAAAAAGAAACAGTGCAAATTGTATGTGATAGTCAAGCAGCTTTTGATTTAAAGAAGTGTGTGTTGGCATTTATTTATAATATGTATATACAAGCTTGTGCAAGTAATGTATTGATTTGATATGTTTTAATAATGAATGCATCTCTTGTTTTTTTCATCCTCTTGAGAGTTATGGATCTGGTTTATATTTTAGGGAGAGAGAAAGACTTTAAAGTGAAATGAATTGCTCAAATTGTGCAATTTTTTTACAATTAGAGAAGAAAGAAGTGCTAAGGCAACACAATAACTTTCTAAGCACTTTTCTGCTGGTTTAAATTAGTTAAATTATTTTGTATAAATTAGATATAATTCTACTTTTCTGATATGTATAAAAATTGATGAAGCTGCATGGTTTTAAAATAGGAAATCCACATTATAAAAAGTCATTAAAAATTCTGTACAAAATCACAACAAAATAATTCAGCATGGGAAAGGTAACAAGTAGTAAAATGCTGGTTGAAAAATATATATTTATATATATTTTAATTGGCCCATTACTAGTTTAAAAATTGCATAGATCCTAATTATTGCTTGTGATTTTGTTATACCGATCAGATAATTAATACGATATGAATAGAGCTACACCAAATTCGTGGTGCACTTTTTTTTTTAACTTTACTGTATTATTATTTTTTTAAAATAGAAGAGCTATAGAAAATAATACATAAGGTGAACAGGAAGTTTGAGCCCCTGTTTCTTCCCAAGGCAGTAACGACAATAAATACATATATCATTTGAAGCTTGGAGTATTTGCACTTTGCAGCAGTAGTACCAAAAGGGCTGCCTTTTGTAAACACGACAGTCACTGTGAGCACAGTGGGTTCGTTTCCCGGGAATGGTGAAACTGACGTGCCTCTAATCGTGAAAGATGGCATTGAGCTGGGCACTCATGACTCGCTCATGATGCGAATGGCTATCAAAGGACATAATATTGTCTATGGGGATCTCGCAGCGAGGGGCAGCGGCGCCTGAGAAGATTGATCCGTGGCTTTGGGCCCCTGCCAGGGTCGCTGCAGGATAGTGCATGGTAAAGGCATAATTTTTTTCAAATTCGGCGGATGGTTCGTGTTTGAAAGAGAAGTTGCCGTTGATGCTGAGCGGCGGGCTGAGGGGTCCGTCAAAGGAAGGGCTGGTGCAATCAGTCAGGGGGCTTTCAAAGAAGGGCTCCAGCGCTGCGGTGTAGGCGTGTGGCGGCGGCTTTACGTGGAAGACGTGGGAGCTGTCCATGGTACCGTAGGGAGGGCTGGGCAGCCCCGGAGACTGGTAGGAGTAGGGGTGCACCGGGAAGGAAGTGCTGGCCGCCGGCAGGTGCGAGGGCATGTCCTGGTTCTGTTCAGGCAGGAAAGTCCGAGGGTTGAGCTGCAGGCAGCCCGCAACCAGGTTTGTGGTGGGTTGGGACAGGCCCTTGCAGAGCGTCTGTACAAAGGAGACCAGGTCAGGGCTTTTTCCTGAGCGCAGGATCTCTGACAGAGCCCAGATGTAGTTCTTGGCCAAGCGCAGTGTCTCGATTTTGGACAGCTTCTGAGTTTTGGAGTAGCAGGGTACCACTTTGCGCAGGTTGTCCAGAGCCGCGTTCAGCCCGTGCATGCGGTTCCGCTCCCGAGCGTTGGCCTTCATGCGCCTCAGTTTAAACCGCTCCAGGCGCGCCTTGGTCATCTTCTTCTTTTTGGGGCCGCGTCTCTTGGGCTTTTGATCATCCTCCTCCTCGTCCTCTTCTTCCTCCTCTTCCAGGTCCTCATCCTCGTCCTCCTCTTCTCCCCCGTTCCTCAGGGAGTCCTCCTCCGCATTCATGGCTTCGAGTTCGTCCTCCTTCTTGTCTGCCTCATGTTCTTCGTCCTGAGAACTGAGACACTCGTCTGTCCAGCTTGGAGGACCTTGGGGCTGAGGCTCACCCATCAGCCCGCTCTCACTGTATGATTTGGTCATGTTTCCGTTCCTATATTCAACAGGGGAGAGAGACAAGCAGAAAAAAAAAAAAAGAAAGAAAGAAAAAAGAAAACGCTACATTTAAACCTAGATAAGCCCTCAGCTCCCACTCCCTAATGCGTGTAAAGAGAAATACCAGTTCACTACAAAATGGATGCCTCTTAGGAAAAGTTATATGCAGTGCTTTTATAATGTCGTGTTCGTGCCTCACTGATACGCAGAGGGCAGGACTGCGGGGTGTCTGCAGGTTGTGGTGGATATGTAAATGTGTACATCACTCCCACATGTGTGTACGTTTCCTAGTGATTAACTTAACTGTGTGTATGGTGACTGCCCGGCAGGATAATTCGTGTGGAAATGAATGTATGTTTGAGCGACTTCATATTTATCTGCATGTGTCCAAAGTCACTCAGAACTCCACAAAAATGATGAGTTTGAAAATCACACATTCTGTTCCCATCCCTGTTCTGGCTTCTCAGTATTTAGCAATTTAAGATGAAGAGCCATTACGTAATTTACCATTACTGGCAGTGATTTTAAAGAGGCTTATGCTGAAAAGAGATCGAACAGCAAATGCACGGGGGAAGAAAAGTACTTTCTACCAAATTATTCCACCATCAACGAAACACTTGGCAACAAAAGTAGACAGGAGTCATCCCTTCCCTCCTTTGCCTTTCTTTTCTTGCCTGCCATCCCTCGCCCTCCGCTAAATTTCCACCTTGTACAAAAGCTCAGGCTCCAAGGCTAGGGCTGGGGGCGCGGCGGTGTAGAGCGCGCTCCCACGCGCTGGGGATCAGGTGCGGAAGGCTCCTCTCTAATAAACAGCCCATTGAAAGGGCCGCCCGCTCTTTATTGGGGCTTTTCAAAGTTCGCCTCAAACCTCCCTTTAAAAGATTGAGTAATTATAATGGTCAGCGATTGGCAATGGCGAAGTTGCCGCTTCTAATAAAGAACATAAGAAGCCTTTAGTAAAGTAAAACAACTGTCTAGCTCCAGGAGTGGCTACTGGGGACTTGGCCGCTTCTGGAGCTGTAACAGGTAGCAGTAGTAGGTCCCTCTCCCTTTCTTCACTCCCCTTTCAACTAAATTATCTCTGAACCCGTTTTATTTTCCAGCCTGTGTGTACTCAAGGTATCCACATTCGTTCACCGAAAAGACAGCTTGACAGTCTCATTGTGCATAAAATATATGTACACAAAATGAATCTTGGTAGATGGTATTTTTTTTTCTTACTGAAAGAAGTGAGAAAGTGAAGTAGTCATTTGCTTTTAGGATTTCAAAATAACCACTAACAAATGTTCATAGTTACTATTTTTTAATCCAAGAAGCTCCTATGCTATTAAAATTTTTTAATTTAATTAGAAAGCCTGCAGGGGGTACTTGTGTGCCTGGACTCATTATGTGTGAGTACTTGTGCGCAATTATGGAAAGGGATACTGTTCTCAATAACATACGACACATTCCCAAACGTGCACATACAGAATATGTAGGTATATCAAGTCTTCAATTATTGTTTTTATTCTCGAGCAAAAAAAAATTGTAATTACCTGTTGTTAGAAGGTCCTGAGTAGTGTTGATCTCATAACCCTGGGGCCTCCGGACGACGTGCCTTCTGCGTGGGCGAATTTCTCGTGTGCGGGCTGCACGGGTGCTCAGGTTATATAGCCGAGTTAGTGATGCTGAGCGCGGGCGGGGCCATGAGCTGAGCAGCCAGCAGGTCTCTGCACGCAGCACTTGCGCACGCGTCCAGGCGGCGCGCTTCCTGCCCCAGCCCCCACCCACTCTCAGCCTTGCTCTTCTCCCGCCCTTCTCTGACAACCGCTCCTCTGGTCCCCCACCCCTACCTCCGCCCCATCTCCTTCCTCCCCGGCATGCGCCATATGGTCTTCCCGGTCCAGCCAAGAGCCAGGAACCACGTGACCTGCCTATTTGTATGCCGCGGAGCGCTCCATTCCGGCCCCTTTGTGGCCAGAAGAAAGTGGCCCATCTGTCGCCAGTTAGAGACACTGCGGACCTGTTTTCACCCGCAGGAGAGATTAACCCTTTCTGGCGGCAGAAGGGAGAGGGCATAGAGAGGGGAGGGGGTTGAGGGAAGGGAGCGGGAAAGCTAACGATGACTGAGTAGGTCAGCGCGCTTAGCCTGCATTCGCGCGGGAAGGCAGAGGCAAAAAAGCAGAAGCAGGGAGACTGAGGCACCAGTAAAACTTGCCGTTCTTTTCCAGGCAGCATGACTCACTGCCCTCTCTAAAAAGGGCCCAACTCTTGGTTTCTGCCCCTTGGCAGACGCTTCGCTTATGGGTGCCAAAAGGGGGTTTCTCCTAATACCAACCTCTCTAGGCATATACTTCATATAAAAATGGCTCATCTGTAAACGCAGCTTTGAGACCAGAAAGCTAGAGTAGCTTTCTTAACTGCATCACCCGCTCCCAGACCCAACAACATAAAAATTTTGTGCCTGCCACTCCACTCCCACCATATATGCTAATCCCTAAGCCCTAACCAGCAGCTACTCCTGTCCCTGTGGGCTCCTCACTGTGTGGGATGTGGATTTCCACCTTCACTCCTAGAGTTTTGTCCTCAAAGGTTGGCAAACCTTGGGCTCGATTGGCCTTCACGCTTTTCTGACGCTTGGAGTCTACCTTTTTTAAAAGGCCACCACATTACTTCAAAAAATGTGCTCACCTAGCCAGAGCAGAGAAAGTTCTGGTCCCCACGCCAACGTGTTTCCCACCACCACCACCACCACCACCACCCCGCGGCCTTGGGTTCCTAGTCCAAACAACGACCACAAACGCGGTGGTGGCACCCTGTTACAGCATGGACTGTGCCCTTGGTCCCCAATCTCGTGCCAGTAAATGGGTACTTGGGTCAGGAGAAAAAAAAAAAAAAACCGAGGACGCAAAGGCCTAAAATGAACCGGTCACTCTCCTGTCTTTCTACCAAGACCACTGGCGCAACCAAGGGCGTGACTTCTAAACCTCTAATTTGACGCGCGGCCTCCATCTTTTGGGGTCAAGCAAAGACTACTAAACTTCCTGATCAATTCTGAAAGAGCCGTATTTATTCCTAAATAGCGGTTCTTTATTTAGTCTTTCTGAACAAGGCATGTTCCCGAATGGCCTTTTTTTTTTTTTAGACAGAGATCGACCTGGACCCCCTTTGCAGTGAGTGAATCATACTTGAATTACTTAGAGGCAATCGCCCTCCCTAAGAGTTTGCAAACAACATGAGGGTGGAGCAGCTGGAGTGGGGCACAATGAGGGGAGATGTGGGAAGAGGGTTCCCTGGAGATAGGAGCGTCTGGAAGGTTCAGGGTGCAGTATCCCGCGTCCAGCAATATTCAGAAAGCGAAAGGAAAGTAATTGTGCCGTCTGCTCCATGACCCAAAGCATGGCGTGAATCGCAGAGGTTCCAGAGCAGAATTTTGTACAGTTTTTGCTTTTCTATGGCTCTTCGGTCGGCTGACAAAGCAGAGGAGGAAAAAAAGAATTGCCTAAGGAGCACGGTCCCAGTATTTACTGTGGTTCCCTCTGTGTTGTCGGTGCTGAGTTTGAATCTGCACGGGCTGGTCCACAATCCAGAGGTCCTCACCTTTGCAGCAGGCTTTCAGTGCCACATTCCTGGCAGTCATCCCGACGAGCTAGCACGTCGTGCCTTGGGAATGTGTAAACCATGTCTTAGCTCTCATTTCGCCATTTTGGGGGAGCTCTAGAGGAGATGTTAGGAGCGGGGAAGGAGGGCAAGCTCCAGGTGCTCTGAAGGCCCAGGGATTTGTACAAAGGAAAAGCCATTTCCCGACGTTCCAAGCACTTGGCTGAGGTCTGGTCTCATGGTGACTCTCAGCGAACTTCCCCAGTTTTCCGCGGTCAGATGTTGACACTGGGCCCAAACATCACGGCGCTCAGCAAGTGCTGGCGGAGCCCGAGGGAGGGTGCGGCTCGGTAATAAGGCCCATTACGAAGGAAATGCCAAAAAACCCGCCGGATTGAGGCTTCTTGTTGTTTCTGCCTGTGGTGGCTTTTTTTTTTTTTTTTTTTTTTTTTTTTTGAGGGGAGAGGGGTTGGTTACAAAAAAGTGGGGCAAGAGGGCCGGGACGCCTGGAGAGAATCCAGTTTGAGGCGCCGCGTAACAGCTCGGAGGATTTTCTCCACAGCCCAGCCTGGCCTCCTTATCTTCGTGGCTTTGCACTTGGACTTGTTTGGACGGTTGCACACTGCCCCCCTCCCCCGCCCCATCGCCCAAGTTCTCTCCCTCTCCCCACGCTGCGATTTAGTCACACGCCCCCACCTCCTGTCCCGACTGGCGCCGTAGGCTGCCGAGCGGCACGCGAACCGCACGCGCAGGCAACAAAAGCCGCTTTCATGACTCACTGCCCTCGAGCAAAGCCCTAAATCTGATGTCCCCGAGTCCCTGCTCCGAGGTGCAGCGCGGGACTGGCGTCAGGGCGTTTACAACAGAGGAGTGGGGTGGGGTGGGGGGACGCGTGGCCAGGGAGGGGCGCAGGGGAGGGAAGAAGGTAGGCGAGGGGAGAGGAGGGCGAAAGGGGGCCTAGGCTAGTGACCAGGACGTAGGGGGTGGGAAGCGTGTGGCTGGCGGCTAGGGGGAGGGGGAAGGGGTAGTCTCGCATTCACAGAGCCAAGATAAAGAGCAGGGGCCCGACCGGCGTCCCCGCTGGTGACCTGTTTCTGGGAGAGACAGATGCTTGCTCTTCCGAATGGAGCGTTGTATTCAGTGAAAGGACCTAATGTGCCCAGGACGGCCCACGGGTCTGGAGAGGCGCGAGCGTCCTCTCCTGCCTTGCTGGGACAGGGGTGTCCTGGCCTGGGCGTGTTCCAGCGCCTCTGGGCCGGCGGTGAGGGGCGCTGAGAGTAGACATTTCAGAGTGCGGGGAGGACACAAGAGCTGGCAGATGAGAGCTATGGCTTCCTTGTTAGGTCCAGTTGTAAGAAGCCCTTAAGAGGCTCTAGGAGGACCGTACAGGTTCTGACCAGACAACGGGCACGGTAAAAAGCGGGATTCTGGGCAGAAGCTGCCCGGGCTCGACAGGCAGGCGACAAGGGAGAGCCAGGAGCAAGAGAGACTCTATTAAAATGCCTCGCTATCGCCGCGAGCGCAAAACCCGTCCTCCCCAAATCTCCTGGGCTTGCGGCATAATCTTAATTAAGATAATTGATTCATATTGCACCTGCGAGAACAGAAAAAAAATTGATTCCAGCCCCCAACTCCACAAATTGCTTAGAGCTATTGGATGGAGCACGGCGCGCCTGTGATTTGGGGAGTGATTTAGTGCCGGGCTTCCCCAGCTCGGCCTGTCTGGGCCCTTTTATTTATTATTTACGTCCTCTGGGTCCCATCGGGGCCTTTGGCTCCCCTCCTGGCGCCCACAGACCTGGAGGATACTTTGCCTAGAGTTCTCCGTTAAAATTGAGGGGCTTTCCTTAAACTATTCACGACGCAGAATCATCTACATAAAATAAACACAGGCAGAGTATCTTGGCAGACCTGGGTCTCCAGCACGAATGTCCAAGGTCTCCTATGTCAGAAAGCCTGTGTGTGCACATGTGTTAGTGTGTGATTGTAACTGTGAATCTAAGTGAGTGTATAAGCGCATGTGTGAATGTGTGTTATCGTGTGTATATGAATATGTGTGTGACAGTTTATGCGAACATTTGAGTGGATGGATATACGAATGTGAGTGTGCCAACAACTATGTACACACGAGTGTGTGTTTAAGTGTGTGGGTGTGAGAGTCGACATGACTGTGTTCAGGGATGCAACTACTCTGTGAAGAGCGTGACCACAGGTCACGCACCTGTTTCTCCAGAAGTGAGGAATGGCTTGAGGTACAAAGGGGACCGCAGGGCCATGGAACCAACAAGCACCCAGTCTTTGTCTTAACAGAAAAAAAAAATTCTTCAGTCTTTGCCTTAGCAACAATAATCCCCATACCTAGACTTAGCTTCAGGAGTGGAGAGCCAAGGCTCACCGAGGACGTCCCCTAATAGTGGCTGCCATCGTGGATTGGGAGAAGAGACCTGGACAATTCCTACAGGGTGAAGAGCGCAGACAAGTCATTCCCTATTCCCTACCTCCACCGGCAGCTTGTAGGATAAATGATTCCTGAAAGTATCAGCACCCTGGACAATTCCTACTTCACTGACTGAAACTTGCCCTATTAAGATTTACCAGAATTTCTCCTTGAGCAGTCTTTTCCTTCTTCTTGTTGGCTTTCTTTCCTTAAACTATTGGTCATCGTGTCAGTAACATTAGTCAGATATCCCTGTAAGACTACATCTAATCGTCCTCCTTCTCAGAATAAGTTCCCTGGAAACTAGAAATCTAGGTTTAGGAGTGAGGGAAGAGTTAAAGTATATGAGTTTGAAACAAAGACAGAAGCCATGAGTTGAATAACTTTCAGAAAGGTAGTCATTGTTCTAACATTTTCATTTTTTGCCACAAGGCTTCAAAACCAAAATAAATCTCTTATTTGCTGTCCATAGAAATAATAAAATATTCCTAAATTTTTTTTTCATTTTAATTTATGGAGAATATGTTTCCTTATCACCATTATACCATCAACTCTCCAGCTATTTTATACTGTAAATAATT